TAATATCTGATTGTGTATTTGCGCTGTGGAAGGCTTTAATATATTTATGGATATTTTATTTTTTGGGTTAACAGTGGAGTAAATACGAAGAATCAACATTACACTTCTTCTTAATCAGAAAATTGTCTTGATGGGATTTTTAAAACTTGAAAACAACAGCCTGTTTTACAGGGATAGACTTATGAATGCATTCGGTAAGGGAGATATTCTCTTACGAATGCGTCTTGAACGATGTACCTTTTTTAGGACCATTTAAATATCACTTTAAAATCAGAAATATAACATACACAACCTAGTTTTAAGTGTCACTACAATTACACAATTACTAAATATATTTAAAGAAATTTACAGAACCACCATTTCTTGACTTTCCTCCCAACAAGATGGATAAGATAATGGTTTGCCTCATAGGATCGGGAAGTTGGGCCACAACTATTGCCCGCAATGTGGGAAGAAATGTGATAAATTCACAAACCATTGATGAAAGGGTCCTGATGTATGTTTACGAGGAAATAGTGGATGGTCGCAAGCTCACCGAAATCATAAATACAACGCATATAAACCTCAAATATATGCCGAACTTTGAATTGCCGCCAAATATTGTGGGTTTACTTGAAATTTAATGATATTTATATATTAAATTTTATGTATAATAACAGGTTGCTGTCAATGATATTGTGGCCACGGCTCGGGATGCAGATATTATAATATTTGCTATTCCGCCGACTTTTGTCAGTAGCTGTTGCAAAACCTTGCTGGGCAAAGTTAAACCCACGGCTCATGCCGTTTCCCTGATCAAGGGTTTCGAGCGTGGAGATGATGGACAGTTTGTATTGATATCTCAAATTATTATGAAACAGTTGAAGGTATTTCAAGTGATAGTTTTAACACTCCTTAAAGTATACTTATGATTGACAAGTTTTTCTGCTGATGGGTTTCCAAGTCTTGTATTTTCCCATAATTTCTCATATATTTTATTAATTTCTCTCCTACAGATTCCCTGCTCAGTGCTGGTGGGCTGTAACCTGGCCTATGAGTTAGCCAACGATCACTTTGCCGAGGGAACTGTGGGTTGCCGCGATCAGAAATATTATCGTGTGTTGCATGATATTTTCAGGTCACCCACATTCCGTGTGGTGGTCACCGAGGATGCCGATTGTGTGGAAATATGCTCCTCTTTGAGGGTAAGAACAGCATTCAAAAAATTTATATATAAATCATATATAATTTATTTTATTTTTGCAGAACATAATTGCTTTTGCCGCTGGCTGTTCGGATGGCATGGAGCTTAATGAGAATACAAAGGCTGGGATTATTAGGAGGGGATTTCTGGAAATGCTGCAATTTGTTGATGTCTTTTATCCTGGCTGCCGTATGGGCACATTTTTTGAGTCCTGCGGCATATCCGATTTGGTCACTAGTTGTTATGGTAATGAAAACTAATTGCACAATATATATCTTAATATATTTATACTCTGTTATCTAGCTAATCGTAATCGAAAGCTGGCCGAGGCATTTGTAAAGACCGGCAAGCCGTTGAGTGAACTGGAGCATATCCTTATACCAGGACATGAGCCTCTGGGTCCTGTGACAGCCGAACTAGTCCATCATATGCTTAAGAAAAAGGGTTTGGAGGATAAGTAAAGATCTGAGTGAAATTCATAAACTCTTCCTGTTGATCCCTATTTCATTTTGTTGATAGATTTCCGCTCTTTACCGCTGTGTACAAGATCTGCATTGGCGACTCTCCGTTGAGCCGTTTGGTGGAAACTCTATTGAAGGCCCGCGAGGACATGTAAGCTAGCTCTTGAAAATATCCTCAAGTGATCCTTGAATAATAATAATATCTTCTACCTGCAGCTTCCATCCGATGCACACATTCCAGCTTTGAGGAGTTCCTTCTTTTATTGATTCTAGAATAACAATGATTTCTTCTTCCTGAAACACATTCTAGCATTGGAAGAGACCTCTTAGAATGCATAATGAGATTTAAATAAAACCAGATTTCAAGCTAAAATCAAACCGTACAGCACCAGCAATTTGTTTTCTTACTGGGACAGGGCTTTGTCCTGGGCTAGAGGGATATATAAATATGGTATTTGCCAGGACGGAGTCCCACTCGATGTTCAAACAAAAGCCCCTCGACATTTGTATTGTGCGTCTTTTCTTGGGTTGCAGTTCAAGTATTCCTTTGCGGAGAGTGCACTCCATTGAATGCACCAACGCTCCGCTCCGCTTCGCTCCGAGTACGATATAAGAAATATAAGAAAAAAAAACAACGGAAATCACTTCAGCCGGGGGATCCGGATCTGAATCCGGATGAATATGAATGGGCAAAGAAACCTAGCCGACGGCCTGGCCCTCCTTTCCATCTCATTGTTTTTCCCAATGGCTCAGCTGCGTATAAATTTATGTGGTATTTTCCTTCATGTCCGATAGTTTTTCTTTCTTTCGTCCCGGCATTGTTATGTTCAAGGAGGCTGTGTGTAGTGCTTTCCAATTCGAAATTGAGGAAATGGGAGCAACCACTGGAGAAGCTGTCGAGCTGTCGAGCAGATCTCAAATCTCAGAGTTCAGTGAACTTTCTATGTAGTAAAGTCAGTCAGCCCCTGTCTACAAAATAGTCAAAAACTTATTTATTGGAAAAGAAAGTATTCAAAAAAAAATTTTAAATGTTTCGATTTGTGCTCGAGAAGATGGGATTTTTTAAGCCGTACAAGTCATATGGCTTCCCTCTCCTGTTGGTAGTTCTAGGCTTCTTAATAATAATTAAGTTGCCAGCCAAAGAAGATGCTGTTGTCGAGGATGCAAAGATGAACAAACTCACAAGTCTGGGCCAAGAAATTTATTACTATTTCTGGCCCAAGCCCATGGTGGAGGACAAAAAAACCTATACCCAACGCCTCTGGAATTATTGGAAATAAGCATGTTGTTATATGTTGATGACGACTGCCACCGATTGCTGTTGTTAACTTTTTGTTCGTGAAAGTCAATCAAATTGTTATTTATTAAATAATTTATCCAATTCATTTAGTTTTCGGTTTTGCTTTTTTGATTTTCTATTTTCTGAATACCATTTTTTTCAGGCATAATTAAATTAAAATGACAAGGGCGGTAATCAGTGGGGGGAACATGCCATGTGGTGGCTTGATTGCATCCGGATTATGTAAACGGATTAGTCCAACTGTCGAAATTGTCCAATTTGATTACATTAGCAAATAGCATTTAATCCCTGCCAAATGACACTTATTGTGTGTGATATATCTATATATTTTCAAAATCATTGAAACTGGCCTACAAAAACAATTTAGCGGGTGGTGAGAGCAACAAGCAAAAATCTACAAAACAATATAGATGTGAAAAGATTACCCAGCCATGAAATCAGTCTTCAGGGAAGATACATAAAAAAGTTAATGCAGTTCAATGGCTTTTCAGATTTATATAAAATTCCATTTTCCATATGCTTTTCTTTTTTTATGGTAAAACTGTTTTCCATTTCAATGGCTTTATTAGTTCATTTTAGATTTGCCAGTTTAGGCCAGCACATACAGCAAATATTCCAGCTTACGTGCCGGTTCCAAAAAATGAAATGGAAATCCCACAAAACGAAACGATAGCCAACTGTCCTCGGACTGTGGCTAAACAAATATGCCTCTCGAAACCCCCTAAAACATAGGCAAACAGAAAAAGCTATGGAAATTTGCATATCAGGTGGGGTACAGGTGTGCCCCTGGGACAGACAGAGAAAAAATATTATATTCTATGACAATAAAGTTGACAAGTTTTGATTACAAAATAATTCGATTTGATTTAAAATGTTGAAGCCACTGTGTTAAAAATTTTAATTAGACTTAAAAGAGAGTTGAACTTGGATTTAATTTATAATTCAGACAGAAAAACTAACAAAAAAATCCTTAATCACTTGGATTGGTAAAAGATCTATGCAAGTTTATGAAATTTAAGGGGGAATGCTTAGGATATATGAAGATCCTTTATAATTTCCAATGAATCCTAGATGCACAATAAATATGCACAATAAATATATATAGTGTAACATCAATTTTAACTTATTTCATAAAGCTGTTTAAATAATTTCATGATGCATTTCCCAGAAAAGCAGAGCAAAATAGTATCAACGATATGAACATAGAGGACTGCGTTCTCCTTCACCGATAATTACACGGTAAATTTGGCAAAATGCGATGACAAATGGCAAACAAGATGCCACCAAAGACCGAAACTAGTTGCACGTACCCAATCGGGCAATGTATCTATGCATTTCCATGCAAAAGCACACGAGATACCGAGTTACTGGCAGGATACAGGATCCACACACACACACACTCACACACGCACACACCTTTGTGTGAAAGATACAGGCAGTGGCGCAGGCACTTCAAAAAATAAATAACAATTTGGTACGTTACACACGTCTCGGCTTATGCAAACGTATATCTGCAACTTGTTCCTCCTCGTCCTCTTCTCCACGGCTGTGCGCCTAAAAGAATGCTTCATTTCATGACCACCCACTTGGCAAATAGAAAACACACCGAGGGAGAGAGATCCTTGGTGGTGTTGTTTGTTGATTCGGTTATTGTTGCTGCCTGTGTTGTTTGCCCTCAAATTGAACAAATAGCTAAAACAATCCTCGCTGGAATAGATATCCCAGGGAATGGGTACAGGAGGAGGCGGCCATAGACGAGTGTTAACAAAATCTAAAATAGTTTAATTCCTGGTCAAAGCGTGGTTTTAATCTCTATTGATGTGTGGTATTGGTCTTTAGACTACTAAACTTGTAAAGAGTAGCTTATAGATTAAAGCATCTTCAGTATTTATTTAGCTTTGCCTGAAAAATATAAAACTTTCATCTTATAACATCTGAACATAAATCTTTCATTCCTTATATAAATCAAAGTTTGACAAAGTTGTCATAGCTCCAGTTTAGATCATTCCATACTTTGCCTAGCCTGTCTCAGCATCCCCTTTTTTGGCTTTGCAGTAAACACAAAAATCTATGGAATTGATGGAATTTATAATCCACCTCACACACATAACTTTTAGAAAATTTGCAGTAAAGCCAATTAAATTTATAGTATAAACAATCCAGAAATAATCACAATCATGGATCTACTGTCCATCAACCAGAAGGTGTTCATCCGGCGCTCCGATGGACGCGTCCACTTGGGAACCATCATCAAGCTGGATGGCGGCACCAATAATATTGTGACAGTGGAGTGGCCTGAGGGGAATGCAGTGCGCGGCAAGGAGTTGCCTCTGGAGCTGGTGGTTCTGATGAATCCGCAGATCTTTGATCCGCCACGATACAGCAGGCTACAGGTTAATCAAACTGCATCCATAGCACCCAGATACCAGGCTGGAAAGATGGGCATGGGAGGAGTTATGCCGCCGCGCCAGGTGGAGGCACAGTTCATGCTGCCCAATCGACAGGACGAGGTGGTCCTGCAGATTGACAAATTGCGGCAACAGCGTGAACTGAGACGCGAACTCCAGAACAGGGAGCGACAGTTGCGGGAGCAGCACATGAACGAGGATCCGGGTAACCCGAATTGGGAGATTGCCAGGATGATACGTCTGCATCGTCAGGAGATGCTCAATGCTCAAAAAAATGCACCCAAGAATGTGGCCAAGGAACCCACAAAGGAGCACCAAATTATGGTTTGTGTGAGGAAGAGGCCCCTCAACCAGAAGAGTTGGCGGACAAGACGGTTTTGGATGTGGTTAGCATACACTCGCGGGACCACTTGGTGGTGCATGAGCCGCGAAAGCATGTCAATATGGTGAAATTCCTGGAGAACCATAGTTTCCGTTTCGACCATGCCTTTAATGAGAATTGCTCCAATGCCACCGTTTACGAGTTCACTGCCCGTCCCCTGATCCGTCACATCTTCGAGGGCGGAATGGCCACCTGTTTTGCCTACGGACAGACGGGAAGCGGCAAGACCCACACGATGGGTGGAAAGTTCACCGGAAGACATCAGCAGAACTCTTTGGATGGCATCTACGCAATGGCCACCAAGGATGTGTTCAGCCACTTGGAATCGCCAACATATGCCAGCTTGAACCTTAGCGTGTCCTGCAGCTTCTTTGAGATCTACGGCTCGCGGGTGTACGATCTTTTGGTGCCTGGAAAGCCCCAGCTAAAGGTACTGGAGGATGGCCAGCAGCAGGTTCAAGTGGTGGGCCTAACCGAGAATAGGGTGCAGAGCGTCAACGATGTCCTGTGCCTGCTCGACCTCGGGAATAGTGTTCGCACTTCGGGTCAGACCTCTGCCAACTCCAAGTCTTCGCGATCCCATGCCGTCTTCCAGATCGTCCTCCGGAAACCCTCCACGATTCCCGAATTTGAGCGCCCGCATGGCAAGTTCTCACTGATCGATCTGGCCGGGAATGAGCGGGGAGCGGACAATAATAGCTCCGATCGGCAGACGCGTCTGGAGGGTTCGGATATAAACAAGTCGCTGCTGGTGCTCAAGGAGTGCATCCGGGCCTTGGGTCGCCAGTCGGCTCACCTGCCCTTCAGGGGCTCCAAGCTCACCCAGGTTCTGCGCGACTCGTTTATAGGCGGCAAGAAGGTCAAGACATGCATGATAGCCATGATATCGCCGGGCCTGCATTCGGTGGAGCACACTTTGAATACCCTACGTTATGCAGATCGAGTGAAGGAACTGACTGTGGACTCGTTGATTCCGAGACGATTGATGAACACGCCTCTAGCTAATCCTGCTGATGCTCGTTCTGCATCCGGCAGAAACTCTGTGCCAGATGTACTCAGTCAGAGTGAGGACCAGCAACCTAATCCTATTACCTCATCCACCTCGCTGCCAGACGAGCAAGATAGAGAAGCCGCTACCAACAACAGCGCCAATGATTTAAACAGAAGCCAGAGACGCTCCAGGCATCCAAGATTTGGAAGACATAATGCATTTCGAGGACGTAATTTTCCCTAAGGCAACATAAGGTCTTGATAGCTTTCAAATTAAAGATATTTTCTTATCAAAATCCCTCAGGACTTTAATTTTCCCAACAATAATTAACCTACTTCCCTCCACATTTACAATACACAATTATTTAGTCTGCTTCAAATTTCAAACCGTTAGCCATTTAGGATGCAACCACAGAGTACACACTAAAGTGTGTTAACTACAGGTTAAACTAAGGACTTTTCATCAACACCCTCGAGAAGGTAACTAAAGTAAAGTAAATGAAATTGCGGCGGCAGTGCGTTTCAGTTTCGTTTCGTTAAAAGAAGGTTCTCGGATAATAAATTTGAATGGAGCCTAGCAACGCAGAGCACAGGGTCTATTGTGCGGAGACTTAATTTGAATTTGGCGCCGAGAATAATCTCTGCCCATTGAAGACTACTGACGGCGGTGGCAGTTATTCCCGGGCCTCTTAAAGCTGTCACCACTCCACTCCACATCCTGCCGTGTCCTTCAGCCTGCGGCACACGAAGCTGTCTGTGGTGGGTTCATGTGTGTGACTACATTTTCTATGCCGAAACTCAAACTAAGCGCAAATATTTTACGCATAGTTGCGCATTAAGCCAAAAACTTACTTTTTTTCCTTACAGGATTCTTTTCTTTTTTTTTGCTTTGGAGGAGGAGGGTGGAGCGAGTGGAGGAAGTGGCTCCTTTGACAGCTGTCAATATACAATATTGGGGATTATGATGGTGCCAAGACACGTCTTACGACAAAGCTTTGTGTCAATATATTAAATTATGGCTTAGGGCGGCTTTGCCCCAGCCTTCGCCTTCGCGCTTAACTTTTTGGCATTTTTCGCGCAAATCCGCACATAAATGCTCCAAGGCTGAATGAATATGGATGAGGCAGCAAATTTGTTATTCCTTTGCATTTGGCACTAATTGAAATCGGGATATGTGCCATAAAGAGAGAGAGAGAGTGAGATGTTCTTTGAGTTATGGCATCTGCATAATGCAAAATGGTAATTATTTATATTTAACTATTATAATGTTTGTGTTTTTTAAGAGGATCCTGCTTGTGGCTCACATTGCTCATACGCTCTGTTTGCCGGGGAAACTTTTGTGGAGGAAAAACTTCAACATTTCCGTTGGCAAACTAATAAAGGAAATTATATTCTTCCGCTTGCTTTTAACCGAGTTTTAGTTTTATTCAAGTTGAACAGTTTTATATGCTTTCTTAAGCAATTAAGCTATGGTATAATAAAGCGAAATAAATTAATCCACTTTAATATCAAGAAAAATAAACAAACTTTATTGATTGTAAATATTTTTACATCACAAAAAAAAATCATAATAGCAAATTAAAGTTTCAAATTTCAACTATTTGTTACAAAGTGTAGGAGATGTGTCTTCATAGGCCTGCTGTCAAGCATTTAATGTTTGCAATTTAATTTCAAGTCCCTCCTGTCTCTCGCATCGTTAATCAAAAGCGTCTTTAATCTTATGCCAAGTTATGTAAATAAACAATTACGAGCATTTATGTATGCACACTCACACACACACTGCGAGCGCCCACACACACGCACAAATTTTGCGGCTTAAAGTTAATTCATTTCGCAAAGTGTTTACCTAACCTGACATTAAAACGGCTAGAGCATCCCATCCATCCATCCCGGGCGCCCATCTTCTATATGGCTTTCTAATATGCCATTAACATGACTCCTCTACCTAAATAAGTAAGTAAATTCGATAAGCACACACACACATCACAACCCCCACAAGCTTTGAGCAAACAAAACCGGAAGGAAACCCGCGCAGATTCAGCGAAGTGCAAACATTTCAATTTCGGGGGAAAACTGATAAGTCCTATGAATGTAAACTTAACAACAAATTTTCTTTGGCAAAGCCAAGCCCCCAGCCAAGGCGAGATGGCTTAAACACATCCCATCCTGGTTGGGTTTTGAAGGAGAGCTTAAAGCATTTCGGCAGCTCCTTCATCCAGTATCGATTACTTTTGTGTCTAATGCACTTTTGCAACTCGAGGGCTGCAACTGAAGAACTCGCTGAAGAACCATCGCCATAGCCATCGTCATTTCTTAGAATTTTCTCTGGGAAAATGTAACTGAAACTGAAACGCTGCCCAGGAAAACTTTGCTCGCGGCAATCGTAGCAGATAGAGAGACGTTAATGGAATGGATGAGATGGGATCAAGTGAGGCTTCAGCTTCAGCTGGATTATGATTTAAGGAGAGTTCAATATGAAGAGGTAGAGACTTTGTTCCAGAAAATGTATTTAAATTGGGGAACATCAGACTTATATTTAGGAAAAAATAATCCAACAGAACCAGTTTCTAATGGAACCAATTTCTAAACTTCAAAATAAACAGACTTTAAATACGAGATGTATATATGAAAGCAAACACATACTCTTGGAACCTATGTAAAAAACCAACTTGAATGGCAAGTTTAAACCACGCTTGTGTCCATTCCTCATTTTGCCAGAGTCATGGCAAAATGTTTACAATGATAATTGTCCTGCTCGGTCCTTGTCGTTGTCATTGTCCAGCCAATAAATTCTTTGCAGCTGCATGTTTGTTAAGCTTCAAGCTCAATCCTTTGGCCAGTCTCCCATCCTGGCACCCATATCGCCCATCTCTTACCCCTTCTTGGCCATGTTGTTTGTCCTGTTTTGGCCAAGGGCTATTGGTCGTCGTGCGGGCGAGCAAAGGAAGGGAGTGAGTGGTGTCCGTGTTTTGTCCAATTTCTGTCCTGTCCTGTCCAGTTCAGTCCCTTATGTCGACGCTTCACCCTGCTCGGGGCGCATTATTTATTTCTCGAATTACAGTTGCATTTAAAACAATTGTCCGGCAAATGAGATTTTCATCTTTCGAATGCATTCTATTAGGGGAAAGCGATTAAATGAATTTAAAACGCTTACTTTCAGTTTCTGGAGGGACAATTGAGATTGTTATTATTTTATTTTAGTTTCAATTCTCTCTCTCTCTGTTGGTTTTTGGTGACTTAAATTTCCATAACTTGGCAGTGGCTTTCTTTAAGGCCTCTTACCATAATTGAAATGTCCCGGTTTAAGCCCCCAGCCTTTGCACAGAGCTGTGTATATATCCAGTTATATATCCCTTAATCCAGGCCAGTCCCTGCTGCCAGAGTTGGAGTCCAGTTGAGAGGGGCGTTCCCTCTTGTCTTAACCCAAATTGTTCGCCATTAAGCCGTCAAGTGCTAAACATGCAAGCGATTCTCAATCCCGCCTCGCCCAGTCCGTTCGTCCTTTCGCGTGCCTGGCTTTATGGAGGGGAAAATGTCGGAGAGAAATGGCCAAAGATAAAAAATAACTTTGCATATTTGCCAACACTACTGTCAGATGTCGGTGGGAAGTCCATTAAAAATGGTGTGAGATCAACACGGAAATGGTGCTGGGGTATGGTTTAATTTCAATTTCCATAGCCAACAATATTAAGCACTTAACGGATAAGGAGGAATGCATTGGATAAGCATTGTACTATAGCTATTTATAGGGAAATAATAATAATAATAATAATAACCATCAGTACTTGGCAAGGCTTACAAGGGGGGTCTTGTATCCTTCGATTGCAAGCAAACCTAATTAAAAATGGAATGGAGTGAACTGGTCGATGTAGTCCTTTGAGCTCTTGATTTAAGTTCGAGTCTCTATATACGCTTATATATAGCTTATTGGAAATATCACTCTCTCTCTCTCTCTTCCTAGATTTGCTTGCAATGCACCAGCAATAGCGAACGAGACCTCTCTCACAAATTACTTTCTCTTTAATTTTGAGAAAAGAAACGAATGACTGTACCCTTCAGTACCAAAATGTATAAGCTCTGACTAAGACATCTAACTTCCGCATTCTATGTTACCCTTTCTAGTTTATTTTCTTCCATAAAGATGCAATTCTCCTCCCCCAAGCTACGAAAAAGTGTGAAAAAATCGTAGGAAGACTGTTAAACTAGAGTTCGTTTTTCTACCACAAGTCGCCAAAAGGAACTTAACAAACATCAAGTTGGTTTTTGCACTGGCATGTCCTTGTGTGGGTGAGTTCCTTTTCATGCCGGTGTGTATAAACATGTTTGGCCGTGTGTTTGTGTGTGTGTGTGTGTGTTTGTCACGCTAACCCCAAAATTGCCGTCAACAATTTAACAAGCAGACGCTGCTGCACTGTGTGTGAAAAATATGTCAAACAGAAGGCGAAGGTTTTTCCTTTTTTTTTCTTTGCTGCATACAAAAATTGCGTTGGCCCACAAAAAAAAAGGGGAGAAAAAAATCCACATAGTGGTAGAATTACCCACATAAAAAAAAGTGGCTACACACAAACACACTCTCGAAGCAGGACAAACATTTTCCCAGCCACGTTTTGAATTATGCATGTCGGCCACACATGACTCGAATTTTTCCCCTGAACCCCAGACCCGGTCGTCTAACGCGAAGGAAAATATATATATATACATACTATACATATTCAGGAAAAATGAAAATGACAAAAAGAAGGCAACGGGCCGAGGAAGAGCGAGCCAGCCAAGCAGGAAGGATGTGTTTGGTTATTAAGGTTCCCCAACCTCATAATGACTGTCTGCTTGGCGAAGTCTCTTCCCTCTACCAACATCAGGACACACACTTATTTCCGCCGAACTCCACAAGCCACATGCCACCTTTGATTGCCTCCCAAAAATGTCCAAGGCTAAGTGGATTATGCATCTTGCAGGGGAGCTTGAAGCTTGAAATCGGCTATCTTGATTTCAAAGTCAATTACCTCGAAAGGTCTTGTGAAGTTCTTAAGGTGGCGAAGATCCAAATACGAGAAAATCTTGTATGGAAGAATCTATAAACTATTATAGTTCATAAAGTTTTTAATTATCTTTCATGATAATAAGGAAAAGAAATGTATTCAGCTTCTGTTTTCAGCCTGAAATATTATTTTCAGTAAGTACCTTCCTCCATTCCGATTACATAAATACAAAATAAATCAAAAGAACACTGCGCAATGCTAAAAATAAAGGAAATTAATTGAAAACCAATCAATAGGCCAACTGCCACTCCCCATTA